AAACCACAAAAATGATAAGACATATAAAGTCATATCAAATGCATTAATAATAATACATGACTTTGTGATAAACGTAAGACAACAGTTGTTAAGGGGTTTTAATAGAAAGTATACTAATAAAAAATTCCGGTACAAGACTTCCAAGAGTTATTTAACATTACAGTAGTTTGAGTTTTATATTAAAATGAGAAATAAACACGAAATGTATTGATTTTTATCAGTTATAATTTGTTTAAGTATTGAAAGCAAATTCAATACTTGATTAGTATAGCACACGAAAACCCCATTTAATAGATATTTATATTATAATATAATATATTATATTATATTATAATATATTATATTAAATTAAATACATTTTCTAATAATATTGAAAGAAAAGAGAAATGTCTGCACGTCTGGAGTGATTGATATACACATACTTTATATATGCTGTATATATGGGGAGAGAAATGTAACTTTATGTTTGAATTATCTATTAATTTGTTTATCAGTGAAAATGTGTAGTGAAGACGAAGAAACCACAAAAATGATAAGACATATAAAGTCATATCAAATGCATTAATAATAATACATGACTTTGTGATAAACGTAAGACAACAGTTGTTAAGGGGTTTTAATAGAAAGTATACTAATAAAAAATTCTAGAGAGAGAGAGAGAGAGAGAGAGAGAGAATAAAATTCCGGTACAAGACTTCTAACTTGTAAGAGTTATTTAACATTACAATAGTTTGAGTTTTATATTAAAATGAGAAATAAACACGAAATGTATTGATTTTTATCAGTTATAATTTGTTTAAGTATTGAAAGCAAATTCAATACTTGATTAGTATAGCACACGAAACCGCATTTAATAGATATTTATATTATATATTAAATTAAATACATTTTCTAATAATATTGAAAGAAAAGAGAAATGTCTGCACGTCTGGAGTGATTGATATACACATACTTTATATTATATATACTGTATATATGGGGAAAGAAATGTATGTTTGAATTATCTATTAATTTGTTTATCAGTGAAAATGTGTAGTGAAGACGAAGAAACCACAAAAATGATAAGACATATAAAGTCATATCAAATGCATTAATAATAATACATGACTTTATGATAAACGTAAGACAACAGTTGTTAAGGGGTTTTAATAGAAAGTATACTAATAATAAATTTTAATTAAATATTTTATAATTAAATTATTGTTTTCCACTTTACCAAGGTAATTATTAATTAATAATTTATAATAATGATTATGAAAATTATGACTATTTGGACAATGTTATGGATGCATATTGAGTATAGGATTGATAGCATAAATGGCGTTACACCACTCGGATATGGTGATACTGGCGGGCAATTCGCACCCACAGTTGGCCAACTCGATTGCCGCACGACTGGACCAGAAGCTGGGCTCGTGTTCGCTATACCACACATCTAATCGCGAGTCTGTTCTGGCGATCGGCGAGTCTGTGCGCGCCCGAGACGTATACCTCATACAGACGGGCGGCCGAGACGTTAATAATAATATAATGGAGTTATTGATTATGGCCTACACTTGCAAGACAGCGGCCGCAAGCAATATCATTGGTGTCATACCGTATCTGCCATACGGTAAACAGTCCAAAATGCGCAAACGTGGTGCTATTGTTAGTAAATTAATGGCCAAAATGATGTGCAAAGCGGGTTTCACTCATATTATCACAGTTGATATGCATCATAAAGAGGTACATTATTCCTATATTTTCAGCCAACAGTTATTTGTTTTGTTATTATATTTAGGTAATTAATTTTTAAACTTGGTATGGTTTTAGTTCATAAAGTTAATTTAATGTAATTTATTATTAGTGTTTTTAGTTAAACTAGTTCATTTTGTTTAAATTTTAAGTTTTATTTTAAATATTTTTATAACATTAATAGATATTTTATGCTTTTCACGTTTGACTCAATTTTTCAGTATTTAATTCTCCGTTAATTTCAAATTATCGGAGAAAAAGAAAATTCCCTTAAAATTATCAACAATTTTAATCACATTAAGTATATGTTTTCAACAAAAACAAAATTATCACTTGACTTATGAAAATAATATTAATGATAGCATCATAAAATATTGGACTTTAAATTCAATCATATAATTATTTGCTGCTAATTATGCTTTACAACTAAAAGTTACAGAAAATTCTTTTTTGTTACTATTAAAAAGTTTTGTTTTATTAAATAGATTTTAACCTTAATACTATTAAAGTTAATAGTTATTTTACATTAAATAGATTAATTTTTAATTCAATTTTCAATTACAAAACTGACAATATCTATACACCTCTCAATAGATGTCGCAATAGTCGCATGTTGCAAAAGTATAGCTAACTTATTCATGTAAATTACATTATATAATACTGGGTTTAACTGTATTTACAAACTTGGTTAAAAAATATTAATGAAACTAGACATTGATTGAATGATGATGATTATATCAATAAAGTTTGTTTTGCCATGCTGATAGGCACAAGGATTTTTTGATATCCCGGTGGAGAACCTGCGGGCGTCTCCATTCTTGTTGCAATATATTCGTGAGAATATATCGGATTACAAGAATGCCATAATAGTGGCCCGATATCCCGGTGCCGTACGTAAGGCCACGGCATACGCCGAGCGACTCCGCGTCGGTATAGCCGTCATTCACGGCGAACACAAAGAGGCGGAAACGGACGAAGTGGACGGCCGTACGTCACCGCCGCCCGCGCCCTCTGACTCGTCGGCTACAGAGGCGGCCAGTGTTGGCGCGAGTGTAGGGATGGGCAGCACTTCTACCGATCGCTACAATTGGGACGGTTTGCCCCAACTGTTGCCGAAGGAGAAGCCGCCNCTCTCTCTCTCTCTCTCTCTCTCTCTCCACTCAAATATTCTAATTATCCAAAGTTAATGATTTTTCAATAAATTATGTCATATAATTTATGTCATCATAATAATTAAAATTTAACTACTTTGAAGCAAATACTTTTATATTACCTAAATACTGTATTTAGTAGCTTTCATGTAGGAAATAAATTATTGTCACATGTCATAATTATAGTAGACTTTAAAATTTTTAATTTACAGTATATGTTTTCAGATGTAATTTGTTGTGAAACTTTTATATAAAACTGTGCTTCTATTAATATCCCATCTGAAATTTATACATGGTTAATCCCGTGATTAAATTATTGTAATTTCTTATGTTATATTCATTTTTATGATTCAAAAGAATTAATTTATAACAGTAATAAATGAAACAGTGATTTTAATAACTTATATTTAATTTATAATTTATTGACAGTATATTATATATACAAAATATATGAGAATATATAAATCAAACTTATATAACAGTTTATTAAATTATATAATGTAGAATTATATACAAACTTAATATAATTTTAATTAAAAGGAAAATTATACTCTACACTAAATTAATGGCAATATTTCTATGACTTAAACAACGTGATCAGGATGAGGGCACCGGGGTAACACTATAATAAATTGACAATTAAAGTTATTTGTAAAACATATCAATATCTCTGTCGATCTGAATCACCATAATTTGGATTAGTTATAGATAACTGTCTTTTAATTTCATTATTATTATTATTATTATTATTTTTATTTGTATTATTTCTAACACTGTTATTACGACTGCCATCGAGGGACAACTTTTTCATCATTTTAATCTTATACATAATCCTTTCCTGATGTCTTCCCGACCAAATGGCTACTAATGTAATGGACACCAACACAAATATACCGCAACCAACAGATATGCCTGTTATCATATAGGCGTCGGACACATCCCGATCGAGACCGCACTTAAGACCCACCCGTTCCCACTCGGGTTCGGTCTCCGAGTCGTTCACAAAGTAATTGCCGGAGTAATTGCGGAAGGCCTCCAATCTTACATTCATGATATTCATAGTCACTCTCTCGCTCAACACTAACCCCTTTTGCTCATTGAAACATTTATATCCAAACTTCTTGGGCGACTCAAACATACGGGTCGTGTTGGTCACCATTTCCTTGTCGTATTTAAATGTTATATTATTGACGTAAATCTTGTCGTTGTCTTTATTAAATGTAAGCCATAAGCCCTTTGAATCAAACACCAAATGCAACACTTGAGAGTCCGAACCACACCGGCTATCGGTTGAACCAACTTTGGCTGTCAATGGATTTACTGTATATGTAGATTGAGTTCGGGTAATGGCGTCCTCGATAAAGAACTCGGCCCCGAATTTGGCCAAAATACACACCACGTCTTTACCTTGCTCTCTGACAAACCAGGGCTGCCACGGGGTCGGCAGTATTGTGCCGCCAACTGATGGTAATGGTGGCAGTGACCCGGCTGTTAGTTGGCCACTGCCTGTTAACCCGATGCTTATACAAACTAGTATCATATGTATTGAAAACATTGCACTGATTAATGAAAAACACAATATTTCAAATACAACTCACAACTCGTTCAAAACATAACAAATATTCAAAATATAGTGAAAAGTTTTATTTGCTTTTTATCTTTATGGTCGTGAATATAAGGTTATATCTTGTGAATTGTTTTATATCCGTATCTATAGGGATGTAGCGTTGATTTTGCAATACATTTAATACACTATATGTCACAATTGTGTACTCATAGAGAAGTAACACAATTGCCGACCGAAACTGAAAGCTAATGAAATACTTTCTATAGTATAAAATCAAATCTATTTAATCAAATCACTGGAAATGTTAAATGTTTTACACTTTTTTTTATTCAACATACATTTTCTCTCTCATCAGTGATTTTTGTAATTAACTGTTAAATAAATAAATAATATTACAACCAACTTATGGTTTGGCTTTAAACCAAATATAAAGTTTGCAGTTAATTACTTTACAATCTAAAAAAGTGAAACAAGTCTATTATAGTGGTATACAAACAATAAAAAATAGTATCATTTTATGAACATAATTATTATAATAATTTATTGACTTGTTTATAGATGTGCTTTAAATCTAGAGTAACATGTAGTTAGATTTGAACAAGTTTGCCGAAACCTAATTACAGAAATAAAGCATTTTAATGGAGAGTAAACTATAATATTTAACGTTTAAAATATCATTACAATCACTGGTATTAAGGAATAGAGAGATAATTGTTTATTTGTTTCTACAGTTCAGTGAATTTTAAGGCCATAAGTATTTACTAACTTATTGTTGATTTATTTAAAATATAATTTTACTTTTAATGTGTGAACATTTTTTGCTTACAAATTTAATCAATAATTATAGTTATATATAATTTCCCTTATTATTAAGTCATTACAAGAACTTTCTCTCTCTCCCTCCCTCCCTCCCTCCCTCCCTCTCTCTCTAACATTCTTTCTGTGTTTTTCTCTTTCACTACAACGAAAATACTGTTCAGTAAAAATATGATAAAAATAAATAGTAATAATAAATTTACAAATAGTATAATATATTAACGTTATACAACGCGATTCAAAACTATTGATTTCTGTATAACTATCATAACTTTTAATCTAGATAATATTTAGAGTTAAAATTTTGAATACTTATGCCATTATATCTATATTTTGCATTTAACAAATAATCTACTTTTAATACGGCGTTAATCCGGCGCTAGGTTATTTCAAACAAGGCGTGTGGTCATTTAAAAACATAAGGTCAGAGCTTTACATGTTATAGCGTCATAGCATATTAAGCTTAACATTAAGTTTTTTAAGTTACATTTCATCTTTTTTCTTAATTAAACCCGATTTTTGTTGTCTAACTTTAATTTATTTGATGGATAATTGTTTAGTGAAACACAATGTTTAGTTCTATGATGTTTTTCAAGGCATAGAAGACATTATTGGTAAAATATTGACCAATTTAGACCTTGATTGGTTTTTTAATTGTTTAAATTCTTAAATTGATTAAATTTGACAATAATAGTTATTAATTAAGTTTTTAGCATATCATGACATATATATTTTTAAAGGTGCTTTGTCAAGCTTTAAATCAATATATAAATAAGTGATTTAGACCCAATAATAATATTTTTTAAAATTATTTACGTTAAACCATATGAAAATCAATAGTTTTGAATCCGATTGTACCTGGAATAAAATAAGAATCTTAAGCACGGGTGTCGTAACGTAGCTTAAAAAAGTTGCCGGTGCATAGAACGAAATTATTGCTAGCGTTCGCTCGGGTGCTAAGGGCAGTGCGTTCACACACGCTGTGATTGCCCCGAGCGGTGAGCCGGGCTGACCAAATGTTACCGTCATCGATGATGGTGTCATGACTCTAACCGTCACTATAGTGCTGCTCACTTGTAGGCCTAAAATTATCAGCTTAATTAAAACTTGATGTGTCGGTTCGATCTCGGTGGCGTCGTATTTGCTACTTAAATCAACATTCAGCCAGATAACTTTCGGTATGATTACCGAGTGTATGTAGTATATGTGTTGAAGGTCCACTGCATTTTCGCATTTTTTCTAACGAGGATTAAATTAAATTTACTAAATTAACCACAATTCGGGGGAAATGTATCAAAGATTTTTAACCACAATTCAGTATGAATAATGTGGTTTATAGGATCGTTCTGCCCCACCCCCTCCCTTAGCTCCCCCGCTCTATGGGATTTAACATGGGATTACAGCTTAAACCTATGGCATAGACTTAACATGGGGAAGCTTCCATAGAATTAACNTTGAGGTTCCTGTGTATGGATAGATGTGTAGAATATTCTGGTTTTAATGAACTTTTCGTAAACTAATATCAAACCAAATATGACAATCGCGCCCACAATGGCATAGCCCACGCCGATCCACACCTGTGTACTTGTGGCCAGACTTATAGGTGGCTCTGAATTAGGGTTGCCATCAATGTCTCCAATGAGTGGACACTGACCCGTGTTGGGTGAGATTGGTGTTCCAATATCAGTGTAAACAACGTTGAGATCAGTAATTGAAATCTCTATCACTTCATATGTGTTATGTGTTTGCAGTGTTATTATTGGCAGTGATTTGCAAAATATTTGTTCATTTAATGTGTATTTTAGAGAATAGTTTGTCAATTGATTGGTATCGGCTGTCAGACACTTATCGTTGCTATACTTATACACATCTGCCGTATCGGCGGTGGTCTGTGTTGGAGAACAGATCTTCATTTGTTCTTCACTTTCGCTCTTATAATAGTCGACGAGTCGTACAAATGGGTACTCAAAGTGGATTGACTTCATCTCTATGTCACTCTCATTGATGTTTAAGCTATTTTCAAAATTAATAATTAATGTTTTCATATATAAGTTAATTTTCGTAAAACAGTACTCAATTATTTACTTGATTCTTACGAATGTATGATCGATCATATCGTAATAAATAATAATAGATTGCGCTTGGTTACATTTGCTCGGTTGGTACAGTTGTTTACTACTGTACTCTACCTGTTGTACAATACTATCGGTTGTATTGTATCTAAACATTACTTTCGCCATCAAAGCTATATTAAGGCATTTGTGGATTGGTTTAGCGCTCGTTGTGTCCGTTAGTATCTCGCTATTAATACTGGTCATGAGTGGCGGCGTTGTAATTAACGACTGTGTGTGGGGCGGGAGTGGAGGTCTGGGGGTTGTCAATGAGAGTATCGGCGGTAGTGTTGGTAAGGCTGGGGGTGGCGTTGGGGATGGCGTTTGGGGTGACGTTGTTGTTGTGGTGGTTGTTGTAGTAGTGGTCAGCGTGACCACCTGTGCTCTATTTCAGAGAACAGTTCTCTATTTGGACCTGTATTTGGACAAAATAGAGAACTGTTCTCTATTTTTAATTTAAAATAAATCATAGGAATGTTACTAAATTTATTAAATATTTGTTTATCAATACAGTAATAAACTTTTTAAAGGAATTGATACTTTCTTGATTAATAATAGCCATTTTTATACATCTAACACAATAAATTTTACTTCAACATTGGTATTAAATAATTTCAATTTTTAAATTTAGAAAAAAAATTTAACGTAAAATGTGTGTTCTCTATTTGTTCTCTATTTTAAAGGAAATTTGGTCAAATGTTCTCTATTTTTAAACCTAGAGGTGGTCACGCTGGTAGTGGTCGTTGTTGTAGTAGTTGTTGGGATAGTTGTTGAAGTAGTTATGAATAGAGTTTGGGTCTTATTATCTGCCGATTCAATAAGTGATGGTACAAATGGCGAAGAAAGTGGTGACTTGGAAGTGGACAAATAATTGTCGTCCAATCGTTCTATACTTTTATTGCTATTATTATTACTAATATCGACAAAATTTTCGGCATTAAACCAATTATCCACTGACTGTAAAACATTGTTAGCCAAACATATAGTAATTATATTTAATAGTATAAACACTGAATACATGTTTTGAATTAATTATAAATTTGTTTATTATACAATTATACAAAAATAACCATTTTAAATAGTGTTAATATTATTTTAATTAGTGTTACACAGTATAATGAACAAACATTTTAAAAAGTACAGTACTACATTACTTAATTAATTGAAAATATATTTTGTTTTTTGAGGCGATCTGAGTCCTACTTATGTAATGTTTAAATACTATTTATATGAAGTTTAAGTGTTTTATATTGCAAATAGTGATCACATATTTTTATTTGTTATGTACTTATGATATCGGGAATGAATCTATAGCAACACATAATGTATTTTCTATTTTTACAATGATACTTTAAGTTTATATACATCTACAAATGTTTTTTGTCTTATTTCATACTACAGTATATGTTATTCAAACTATATATTACAAGATATAAATAGTTTTAGTTTATAATTTATTATAGAATATGCAATACCGTTTAGTTATACTTTGAAAATAGCTTCTTTTAATTCACATATAAGTTACACCTATAAGTTACACATATAAGTTATAGCTCTGACCTTATGTTTTTAAATGACCACACGCCTTGTTTGAAATAACCTAGCGCCGGATTAACGCCGTATTAAAAGTAGATTATTTGTTAAATGCAAAATATAGATATAATGGCATAAGTATTCA